TATTGAGATCATGACGACAACAATTACAAACCCAAAGCTTGCATCTAAATAACCGATTAAACCTAATTAATTTAGTAGAATTATTTACTCCATATTATGAATAAAAATTTTTTATTTCATAAAATTTAGAGTAAAACGGTGTTTTTAAAGCTTCTATAAACTCTTGATATACAAGTTATATTGTTACAGTTGAATTTTGTCAAATAAGTTTTGTTGCTTTTCCAATGACAAACAATTGCTAATTTCTTTTTTAAATTACCATTGTTTAAGGTTCAAAGTTTTACATTACTTTTTGTCGTTGTAATTCAAGAAGCAATCGACGGTTTCTGGTGCTTCAGCTGGGAACAAAAATTTATGATGTTTCTTTTATCTTTTGTAAATTTAATTTTTCTCACAGTCAATTATATTTGGCACTTTATACAATTTTATTATTATCCTTATCTCTGGCCAAAAATACTAAAGTACGCGGATAATAAAGACGTTTTCAGAATGAGTTTGTTTTTTAAATTTGGATAACTGGTTCCCAAGTTATGACAATTTATGTTGGGCTCAATAATCCCTATCTGCGCCAAGATATGTTCAGTTTTCTTTATAGATTTATGGCACCAAATTTTGATAATAAATTTGCTTTTTAAATGCCATCATCGAAAAAGTGTTTTATTAAAGTTCTTATGCTAAATTAATTTTATTGTTTTCTTTTTTACTTAAAAATCAAAGCATTCAATTCTACACTCCCCTAGGTAAGGATCTCACTGCTCGTTTGTCCCATTTGAGCCAATTGGGTCAAAGGTGATGAAATATTTGTAAAAACCTATAAAATAAACTTTAGTTAAAGAATGAGAGCTCTTATATATTGTAAGAGTAAACAAATTGATATACAATTATAAAAATATTAAGTTTCCGTAAAGAAATAAAAAAAAGTAAACCATATTTTTGTAAACCATATAAGTGCAAAGCTTTTTTGTTTTTTAAGCAAGCAAACAATATAGTTTGAAAACAAAACATCTAAGATGTTGCGTGACGTTAGGTTGTGTGAGTATTGTTAGAACATATTTAAAATGATTTTTTCCACGTGTACATCTGAAGCCAACTTTCACAAACAAAGCACCTTCAGAAGCACTAGGTGTTACAACAAAATGGTTTCATAAATAAAGATCTTAGATAAACGTCATCACAATTTACATGACCATCAACCCAAACACACCAGTTCTTTCAATACTAGATGCAAAATATACTGAAAAGTGTTCATTAAAGCTCGTAAAAACAATGTGATCATATTTATCCCTCGAAGATATTGTATTTAAAATGCAGCCAAAGATATATTATTTGTTAAATTATCAAGCTCATCAACAAATTACCAGATTATCAATAAACTATAAAGTAAAATATAGTTCTTTAAAATGTAAAATTAATAACATATAGCACTCACCAGAAGCGTCTAGTGTGAGGGTGACAGAAGTATTAGAAGAGCATAGCATAAAAGATTTTGCAAACCAAATAAAGTTCAATAAAAAAATATTAACCGAGTTAAAAACATATACATCTGAAGCCAACTTTCACAAACAAAGCACCTTCAGAAGCACTAGGTGTTACAACAAAATGGTTTCATAAATAAAGATCTTAGATAAACGTCATCACAATTTACATGACCATCAACCCAAACACACCAGTTCTTTCAATACTAGATGCAAAATATACTGAAAAGTGTTCATTAAAGCTCGTAAAAACAATGTGATCATATTTATCCCTCGAAGATATTGTATTTAAAATGCAGCCAAAGATATATTATTTGTTAAATTATCAAGCTCATCAACAAATTACCAGATTATCAATAAACTATAAAGTAAAATATAATTCTTTAAAATGTAAAATTAATAACATATAGCACTCACCAGAAGCGTCTAGTGTGAGGGTGACAGAAGTATTAGAAGAGCATAGCATAAAAGATTTTGCAAACCAAATAAAGTTCAATAAAAAAATATTAACCGAGTTAAAAACATATAAAAAGTAAAAAAAATCACAACTGATTTTTGGGTATTTGATTTTTCTTGATTATCTAAGGAGATTTGAAATTTTTGACATTTGTTAAAAAAAAGGGAGGGGAGGTCAAGAAATGCTGACGTCAACAATGGTCCTTTTTTAATAAATTTAATTACCTAAAAAAAACAGTTTTTTTTTTCAATTTAGATTTTATTTGGGAGGGTTAATGGTAATCAAATGTTGACATAATTTTATAAAAGGAAAATGTCAAAAATAATTCAAAATATTTTTTAAACTTTATAACACTCCCTCCCCCCTCCCTCCATCCTTACCTCTTCCTTTCCCATCTTTTGCCAAGATAAAATAAAACAATAACTATTAAAATAAAAATAAAAACAAAATTCAACATAGTTCTAAAGGTGAAAGCAAAAACTAGTAAAGGTGAAAGCAAAAATTTTTAAAGCCAAAAAATTAAATATTAGCTAGATATCTAAAACATATGTTAAGACCAAATAAGATGCCTCACGACTTTAAAAAATGCATAATAACTAATCAGTGGCTTAGCAAGAATGTTTCAATCGAGGTGGGCCTCATTGAACGGCACTATTTTTGAGGTGAAAAATTTATTTTGAGGAACTCTGTTTTGCATCCGTATCCGAATACCATAACATAATACTTAACTTTTGTTTTAAAAAGCATCAAACATATTGTTATAATGCAAAAAAATACAGCCGTGGTGCAGTAGTTAAAGTTCAGAACCATGAGGTCCTAAGTTCAATACCGACTCCAGCCCAATAAGCAACATTGGTAAGGACGAAGGTGTGACCTTACCAGCTAAATGCTCTTCACGGTGCTCTGTGGAAAGACCGAACAAAAAAAATAATAATAAAGAAACATCTTCAATTTTTATTATCAACTGCAACGACTTCGCAAATTGTACATGCCTTTTTTTCAACTGAAATTAAAAACAAAAAGTAAAAACTAATATAAGTAAAAACTAAAATAAGTAAAAAAAAAAAATAGAACACAACTAATGAGTTTACGAGGAAAGGTTTTAAACAAGATAAAAAAAACATATGGTAATTTAATAAAAAGGAACAAATTAGCAAATCTCACAACGCGATTTGTGATAGTGTGCGGCAGTGGCGCAGTGGATAGAGCACTTGCTTTATAAGCAGGAGGTCCAGGTTCAAAACGATTTTTGGACATATTTTGCGTCACGGTTAGGAAAGAGGCGTGAACTTCCTGGATAAATGCACTTCTGCGGTGCTCTGTGACAAGACCGTTAGGACTTCTTTGGGTCCCGAAGTAACAAATTAAAAAAAAAATTGTAACCAAAAGAAGTTTGTGATAAAACGATTGATCGTTGATGTATAAAACAGAAACAGAAAACAGTAGAAGAATCATATGTATTGTCATATGAAAATAAGGTGAAAAAAGAAATGATTTTGTGACGAGTTACAGAGAGATCCAAAAAATTGCTATAAAATTTGAATAACTTTATTTTTTTTTCTGAAAAATATGCCGTTCTTCAATAAATGATAAATATACCGTTCTTATCCATTAAATGTTTTGAATGACAAAGATACCATTCTTATTCCACCAAATGTTTTGAATGATAAATATGCCATTCCTACTCCACCAAATATTTTGGATGATAAATATGTCGTTCTTATAGATCAGATGTATCTAATGATAAATATATCATTCTTATTCCACCAAATATTTTGAACAATAAGTATGCCACAAACTGATTTGAATGATAAATGAGCTGTTCTTACTACACCAAATGATTTTGAATGATAAATATGCCATTCTTCCTCCACAAAATGTTTTAAATAAAAAATATGCCGCTTTTATCCTCCAAATGTTTTGTATGATAAACATGCCGTTCTTACTCCACCAAATATTTTGAATGGTAAATATGCAATTCTTACTTCACCAAATGTTTTGAATGATAAATACGAGTTTCAGTGTCTGAGTCATGACCATTTTGGCATTAATAAATAAACGTTTCCAATAAAAGGAAAAGACGTAAATGTTCTACTTCTGCTGCCGCATCAAAAGACAAAGCAAAAACACAGATGGATGGTGGCAACTTGAAATCGCGCAGTTCTTTTTATATGACAGTGTTAAAAACGCAGTTCCTAAAGTCGATATACTGCCACGAGTTTTTCTTACAATTGCAGTTAGTATGGCTAGTTGAAAGAAATTTTTCAGAACTAAAATTGATAAAATAGTTGCCTAATATTAATAGTCAGTACCCAGAGTTTCAAAAGCTATCCATTAAACAGAGGCTGAGTAATGAACTTGAATTTGAAACCATCTTTAATGACTTTGCTAACAGATAAATAAACCTGTAACACGTCGTAAGAAAATCAATTTTTTGAAAATAAAAATCAATTTATAAATAAACCTATATTTATATAAGCTTTACTATAAACGCAACTTTTGTTTTTTTTTATGAGGAGAGACAAAAATTTGATTCCGCGGCAAAAAACTGTTACTTTGCTACAATTATTGCAAAGTATAAAAATTATTGGGTTATAACTATATAAAAATCTGTCGAAAATAAAAAAGTTTTAAATCGGTCAAAAATAAAAAAAGTATTTGGTTAAAAAAAATATCCTCTCAATCATCATCAGTTACTTTATTAGAGCAGAGGGAGGAGAATTGGGACGAGGGAAATGCGGGACAGCCTGAAGTTTCGAATTAGGAGTGGTGTTTAAATACTGTCCCACTTTACCCCAATGGCACGGTTTCTCTAAAAGCAAAAAGTTACATACTTAATTTTTATTGGCTGGAAACCTAAGGGTTATTAAATCGGTGCCTAAAAAAAAATTTTATTTGAAAAACTTGTTTGGTTCAGTTTATACATTAAATAAAAAAGATATTGCAATTACCCTAATAAAAATTTACGTGTACCACTTCTCCCCACTCTCCCCACTAAATAACACAGGATAAAATAGAACTCTATGGGATTTAAAAATATATTTTTGCGTTTTGAAAAGTTGAATCTATTGTAATATATTTATTGTAAAACATTTTATTGTAATATATTTACCTGCAAACTGATTCATGAAACAAAATTAATCATCAAAATAAGCAGTAAATTTTCTCAATGTCACTCAAGACATTTAGAAAGTTAACATTAAAAGCCCTAGTAATGACACTTGCAACGTGAGAATTGAAGCCATATCGTGCCAGATTCAAAATTTTAGCAAAAATGTTAGCATGCGAGAATTTCACGAATCGCCATATACTTGGTTCATTCGAAGCAAAAGTAAAATTTTGTAAAAAAAAAAAAGCTTAGGTTTCTTCTAACTAGGAAAAATGGTCTGAAAATGATGTCACAATGGCTAATTGTGTTATTGTTTGCTGATATTTCTTCACGATTTAGAATTCTCATAAGTTTGAATTACTTTCTTTATTATTTCTGTAGTAGATAAGTTGTTATTATTTTTTAATGTTATAAGTACAACCTTTCCTCCACATTTTTTTACTGTTTCTGTTTCTGGCAAATTTTCTTCGTGTTTGTAATCGCCTCCTTTAACATGAAAGTCTGGCTTTATAAGTTCAATAACTTTTTTAGGATCATTTTCGTAAAACAGAAACACATAATCCACAGGTTGAAAACTGGAAATTAAAGTAAGGCGAGAATTTTCATCGATTATTGGTCTGTCCGGACCTTTATATCTTCTAACAGAAGCATCGTCATTTATAGCAACAAAAAGAACATCTCCTAACTTCTTAGCCCTAATTAAAAACTCTGCGTGGTTTACATGAACGATGTCGTAGCAACCATTCGTGAAAACAATTGTTTTTCCTTTCTTTTTTAAAGTTTCGGCTAAAAATTTAACTTCCTCGTAACTTGAAATTATTTTTGATTTCGTTCCTCTTTTTTCAATTAAGAAGTCTTCTTTAGATATTGGAACGCAACCGAATTTCGATACGACAATTTTAGCACAAAGCATCGAAAACATTAGAGAAAGTTTAATACATTTTGTTTGTAAATATTCGAGAACAAAGGAAGATGTCACAGTGTCACCTGCACCTGTTACATCTAACACTGATGTTGTAAATGCTGGCAAATGTTCAATTATTTCGTTAGAAACATAACTTATTCCAGCCTCACTTCTTGTTATTAGAAAAGCGTTAAAATGCTTCAACAAGATATCTCTGTTCGCTTCAATATCTTGGTTTTGATTAGAAACAACAACATTTAGGCTGTTCATAAAACCTTTGTACTCTAAAAAGTTACATTTTATTATTGAAGCTTTTGAAAAAAGATGCATATTTTTCGGCCGTGCGTCAGCTAAAATAAATTTCTCTTTGAATATTTCGAACAGTTCTTTTGTTACGTTTTTTGTAAACATACCTTTGTTGTAGTCGGATAAGATAACAGCGTCATAAATGTCGATGTTCAGATTTTTTATTTGCTCTAATAATAAAGTTTCGTCACTTTCTGAAAGAGTTGAGTCATCTTCATAATCTATTCGCAAAATTTGCTGATTTCTTGCAACTATTCTGTGCTTCACAATTGTTGGGCGGGTTGTAATAACAGGAATAAAATCTATTTTATGATTTTTCATTTCTTCTAACAGAATGGGTAGGTTGTCGTCATTACCAACTAACGAAAGGAGATGAACTTTAGAACCAAGGTTAACAATGTTTTGTGCAATATTTGCACTTCCGCCAAGTCCTCTTGTTGTCTTCAAATGTTTTACAACAAAGCTAACAGCTTCTGATGTAACTCCACCAACCTCACCATATGTATATTGATCGATCATGGCTTCTCCAATAATGAGTATTGTTAAATTAGAATCAATGCAACTTGCAATTTTTTCTGACATCTTAAACATCTTTGAATTTATTTGAAAAGCTGTTTACTTGTTTAATATGGTATTTATGATTATCAGAACCTATTTTAAAAAAAGATTTATTAAAACTAAATTAGTTAATCTACTATTCAAACATCAAGTTACTATCTTACAATCGTTTCAGGCTAAAAACTTTAAAACACAACATTTTTCTAATCACAATCATTGCAATTGACATGCCACAACAATTTAAAAAACAGTTTTTTTGAAAGTAAATTATTTATTACTTAACATTGTATTGTTTCTAATTTGGTCGTTTAACGTCTTTAAAATAGTTAAATATATACTTAATAAATGCGTCATCATTATTTAAAACTTTTGGTTAGTTTTCTAAATACGTTTAAATACTGCTATTGACATTAAAGGTATTCATTAATTAGTCTAAAGAATGTTTTTCCATTTAAAAATAAGTTGTTCATTAAGAAATAGCGTCATTTACATACAAAATAAATTCCACCACATTAAAATCTACCACATTATAATATACACTACTATGCAATAGAAAAATTCTCTAAGTGATATGACTGTATTATAATTGTCTTTAAATAATAAATAATCGCCGCAACTAATGATTAGAAAAGAAACACCTACTAAAAACATAACTTTTTCAGTTTGATAGTTTATTTCCTCGGGAATATCTAAGCATCAAAAAATATTATTCAAAATTCAGCAAAATAAGTTTTTTTTTCCATTATTCATACAATTAACTAAGATACCAGGTATACCTAAAAGTAATAAGTATAAGTAGCAAGCGCAATTAAAAAAAAATATTTTCCAGGTCTAGATTATATTGTTTAAAAAGTTTTAGATCTATAACTTTTTATATAATTTAAAAAAAAAACATATTTTTTTTAATATCAAGTGAAAATGAGAGAAAAACATTATGTTAAAGTCTAAAATATGTCATACTGAAGGCACATTACATATCTCAAAAATTATTATTCACCTTTAGTAAAATTTATATAATTTAAATTACAATTTAAAAAAACATTTAATGTTTTTTTATATTATTTCTATAATATATAAATTTAATATAATGTTTTTTCCAATTATTTTTATTTATACTTCTTGTAGACTTTTTAATTCCTAAACATTTTTATATATACTTCTTGTATACTTTTTAATTCAGAGCACAGCTTTTCGAAAACGAAAAAATAACTTGAAAACTAATACATGTTTTGAATAATATTACCTCCACGACCGATAACACGGGTTTCAAAGTGGGGTAGGGGGAACAATCGTCAATTCTTAAAAAAAAGTCTTTTATATCTAAAAATTTCTTTAAAAAAAACGTTTTTAGATAAAAATGAGAGGGACACGCGCCCCGTGGCCCCCTCGGAGTCGTCGGCCCTGACCTCTACAATATATACAATGTTCTGTTGTTTATAATAAAACCTTCAACTAGTCACTCCATTTCCATAAAATAAGACGTCCTAAATAAAATAAGACGACCAAAATAAAATAAGACGACCAAAATAAGACGTCCTAAAGACGCACGGTGAAGACGTCTTTATTAGGACGTCCTTGTGACGTCTTCTTTAAGACGCTAATCAAATTTCGATATTTAGACGTCCTATTGACGTCCCTAATACCTACTTTATACTTCCTAATTACCTTAAAAATAAGTTGTCTGAAAGACGTTCAAAGAACGTCTTCAAAAAATTTAAATTTAAAGTAAATAAATTAATATACAAATAAATACTCGGTTAATTAAAAATGTCTGCTTGTGAAAATATTGCAACATGTATTTTATAAATTAAAATGATATTTTCTGTATCTATGTACATATATATATATATATATATATATATATATATATATATATATATATATATATATATATATATATATATATATATATATATATATATATATATATATATATATATATATATATATATATATATATATATATATATATATATATATATATATATATATATATATATATATATATATATATATATATTAGGTTGATTTAGGTGTCCCAAGAAGTCCTTACCCAGTGGGCACAGGACGTAAAAAAGACGTCCTTAGGACGTTCAAATCGCGTCCGTCCGTCCCATTAAAATTCTAAACGTCTTATGAACGTCTTTTTCGCATCCAATAATTTTTTCGTCCAAAAAATATCAAGAATGCTTTATTAAATCATAGTCATAGTGTTTAACTAGTCTGGAAACGCGGGCCGTTTCCTTAAAACACTTAAGTTCCTCTCTATACTAGTGCTCAGCCTACTTTAGAGTGCATCAAATTGTAAACATTGTATTTTGCTATAGATAAGTTAAATATATTCTGGGATAATTATTGAAATGGCATGAACAAATTGTGATTTTTTTGGTTGTTCAGTTTCAAGTTAATGTTTTGGATTGCATATATATTTCTTATTCCAAATAAAAATGATGAATATAGCATAAAATAAAGACATCAACTGTTGATAAATGTAGTTATGTGAGAGAGTTTGTAGTGGTATAAATATGCTTATATGATATAAGCTATACAACCATATAGCTTATATATATAAGCATTTAAGTTATATGCTATATGAAAATATGTTATAAATGCAAACATTTCATCGACTGTATAACTTGATGAATGTATATGGGTATAAATGCTTTGTATTTTATTCAGAGTATATTTATTTAGAATGTTAGCTAATAGAGCTTAATAAACTCTATATTCTATATATAGTTTGCTTAGCTGGATTAGTTGATAATTTATATATCACTCTTTACACTATGTTGGTATCTTTTCTGGAAACAAGAAAAAATCAGGTACAATTTATCATTTTGAATGGTTTCAAAGCTAAATTAGATGTTGGTATCTTTAAAGATAAGTGTTATACCCTTAACACAGCATTTTTATCTACCTTAGAGAGAAAATTATATCTTAATTATTACCTAAATTATATTAAAAATCATGATTTGTTATTAATTTTTTACCTTATAAAGAAAATTTTTTTTACCTTAAAGGTAAAAAAAATTTTCTTTATAAGAAAAATTATATCTTTTAAAGATATAATTTTTTACCTTGGAAGGTAAAAGATGTTACCTTACTATGTGCATATCACATATTCTACCCTACGGTAGAACTTCTACCTTTTTTACAAGTGCTATACTAACAATAAATGTTGTGCAAAAATGTTTTTCTATTTTTATTAAAAAGTAAAAAACTTAATGAGTAAAAAAAATTATGATTTTAATAAATACTTTAAAAATAGCTCTTATGTAAATTTTTGTTTTTATTATGTGGTATTGCAATATATATTATTGCAAATTAGAAAAATATACTTGATGCAATAAAGATGATGCAAAAGTTTGCTACTAAATATTGAATAACTTTCATACATAAATCAAATTTAATTTAATTATAAAAAAAGTACAGTGTATTAAAAGAAGATTACAGAATTTAAAAATCACAGTGTATTAAATTAAGTTACAAAATTTTATTTCAAATCTTGATTTTAAGCAATAATTTAACATCTATTTTATTGAATGCAGAAAAATAATATCTCAAAATCTAAGGTGATCTTCAACTAAAATAAGATATTTCATGTTAATTATCTATTTTCAAAGTCAGCTGCAGTGTATGATGATATTCTTGACAAACTAAATTTCTTAAAAGTTGTTGCTTGTAACTTACGATGTTTATGCAAATCGCGAGTTGTTGAAAAGGCATTTTAAATGATTTATTTATGCCTAATCCACCACATTAAAATAAGACAACTCGTTACTGTCTTATTTAAATATGACTTATCCAACTTAAAACATATGGAAAAAAAAATATGTAAGGATGGTAAGTTTATATAGTGGAACCATATTGCTTATATATTCTGTAAAGACAGATAACGTGGCCTTTGAATTTTACCTAAAATTACTTTTGAGCACCCAGCGGGCACGGCAACGTCCATATGACGTCGAAAGGACGTCTTTTTAGGACATCCGGAACTGGTTCTAAATGGCAATGCCAGATGACGTCTTTTTAAGACATAATTTGGACGTCTTTTTAGAACGGAATAAAGACGTGTTATTAGACGTCTGAAATACGTAAATTTAGGACGTTCAGAACTAGTGCTGAATGGAAACGCCAAATGACGTCTTTAAATAACCTAATTTCGACGTTCTCGATTCGACGTCTAAAATACGTGTTTTTACATGGCTTTACTTAAACATAAGGTTCAAATATTTATATGTTTTCACAGAATATATGTTTTCACAGAACTTCTTGAGAATAAGAAAAAAATAATTAATAGTTTAAATTTTTTAAAAAAAATTTAAACGATTTTTGCAATATCAGTATCGAGAAATGATTGATCACATTCAAGAAACTTGGCGATAGAATCATACTAGTAAAGATCAAAACTATTCTCAACTTTTAACTTTTTTTATATTTCATTATTCTTAAGAAAAGTAAGTAAATGAATTAAAGACTATATATTAGTTAATTAAAAAACAATATGCTATTATAATTTATATATATATAAATTACAATAGAAAAAGTATACATTACATCTTCGCTTCCAACAAGGCTGCGAAGTTATTGGAAGTTATTGGAAGTTTGGAAATTGTTGGAACAAGTTTGGAAGTTACTGGAAGAGAAAAGATTAAGTTCGTAGAGCAAGATAACGATTGACAGATGACTTAAAAGATTGCAAATTATATGAATCAGGGAAGCAAAATGAAAGAAGCAAATTCCAAAGCACTGATGTTCGAAGAAAAAAACCAGCTTTGGAGCAGTGCCCATTATAGTATTTGTAGAAAAGAGAAAGAAAAGCAACATCACGACGATGTGACAATGGTTGGAGATTGGCTGCACAAGCAGGTCCAACTATGTTTACAATGCGTTTTTGCACCTTGTCTAAAAGAGAAAGGGCTTCAATAGAAGATCTGCCCCAGATATGGCAACAGTATTCCATACAGGGACGGATTTGAGATTTATAGAGATAGAGAATAGAATCTAGAGTAAGGAAGTGTCAAACTCGATAATAAGATGCAACCTTAGCAGATGCTAATTTTGCAATGGATTTAATATACGGTTTACAAGAAAGATCAGAAGTAAAAGTTAATCCTAGAAGATGAAGAGTAGATGACTCATCTAGTACATTACCATTCATAAATATAGGAAGATCTAAATTATTGCGATAACGATTGGCCAAAAAAAATTAAGTTTTATCTGAAACAGAGTTTACCAGCCATTGTGAGCCCCATGCTGTAGCAGAGATGA